CCCAGTGAAGTTGGAGGTGAGAGGAGTGGAGGGAGGTTGTACAGTTGGGATGCGTATTACATGTCAGTGGTATGCGTAGATGCGGCAGTGCGGTCCTTGGGCGTGCCTGTGTGACCCTGCTTCCCCGTGATTCGACGCGAGGTCTGGCGGTGCGTAGAGCTAGTGGAAACGGGAACAAGGGTCGTCAAGAGCAAAACCCTAGCTGCACCGCCAGCCTCCTCTATCCCAACGTATGCATGCAGGCGCCTCATAGGACATTTTGTGCTAAAACAGTCCGCCATGCAAACAAACAGCCTGCAAACTGCCGGTTGTCCCACCTTTTGCGTCATCTCAAGATGATGCGAAATGTGTAACCCAGATGCGTACGTCACACAGAGCATTTGCTAAAACAGTCCGCGGTCGAGAATGATGGCAGCGGTGCATGGTGCAGGATACTTGCTTGCAATGGCGTGCGAACGTGCTTCCCTGTTCATCACAGCCCATGTCCGGCATCCAGCTGCTGCTGCTGCGTTGTCAAGCGCACTCTTGAACAAGGAGGCGTGCCGGTCGGACCACGTCACCTTTTGAGTGCTTGTAGTGGCTGCAGGAGCATGCTTCCATTCCAACAAGGTCGTCACATATTGCTTCAGTTCTCCTTTCGGATAGTACAGCACGCGCCTGACTTGCGCCTTTTTCAGGCGGATGTCGTTAGAGGCAAGGTGTGCCAACAGCATGTCAACAAGAGCAGCTTTTGTTGTGATGGCGGGGCGAGTGGCCAGCGCTGCTACTTCCTTGGCAGCTGTAAGTACAGCGTCAGAGATTGACATGGGGGCTGCCTTGTCCTCCGTTGCCATAGGTGACAACACCGCTTCTGCCGCAACATTCTGCGTGGCTGTGGGTTTTGGTGTTGGCAGGGGCTGTTCCGTTTTGGTCACAGGGGATGATTCTGTTGCTGGTTTGCCAGTCTTTGATGCTTTGGTTTCGTTGTGTGTGTGTGAGGCGTTGCCGTCAAGCTTTCCCAAAAGCTGCAGGACGCGAAGCTTTAGTTCTGGGCACGGCCTCGTGATGATATTGTATACCTGGCTGTTTAAAGCACTTTGGCCATGACGTGCAAGCTCTGTCACAAGGGCATCTGCAAGCTGCTTATGTCAGGGCCAATGGCTGTCGCTGTCCTAATAGTGCGGCCTGGCAAACGTCTGGGGGAAGGCTGAAGGAATGTATACTATCCCTAATGATCAGGCAAAGCAAAGGCAATTGCCCTAGTGTGGCCCAGACCACACAGTGTTGTAGCGCAACTGTATCAGATCAGATAGCCATATGTGTTACAACTCGGATCATACCTCAAAGCGCGGGCATGTCATCTCTTGGGTCGGGCACAGATTGCCACGAAGTCACTCCCAGCAGAATAGGGATGCAGATACTCAATAAAGATATCAACCTGTTCACGAAACTGTTAGACTGCGCAGGCCACGTTAGGGGCAGCTGGACGCAAGTATACTCGATGGATGCGCGGGCCACTTCTGGGCGCCTTCACGCAATACCTGATATTGGAATCCTGTTAGTATTGTTGATAATCTATCATGAGCCTCTACACAACCGCAACCGCACGGTAGTGCCAAAAGGTGCGCTCCGCCGCACCTCCTCAGCCTAAGAGCAAGGCGGGAACCGTAAGCACAGGCCCACATGACACCCTGATGACACCAGATACGCGCCAAGATACCAACTGACTGCGTTCACTCAGGTACATCCAACCAGATAACCAATATTATAGCAGCTAACCGCAACATAACCAAGCCATAACGATAGTTAGAGATCTGACGAAGCCCTAACGAATCCCAACCGTTACCGAACCGACGGCAAATCCACCCTTGACGGCATCCAGACCTGACACTTATGGGTTTTAATGCGCGTGTGTGAGTGCTCTGGCATGCACAGCCTCTCTGCAGCTAAGAGCACCTGGTCGCACAACTTCAGCGATGCTGTTGGGCTAGACTTGGGTTGGATTGGCAATTGAGGAGTTGTTTTGGTGCGTTGGACGCTTGCATGTTGGCGGATGTTTGGGGTGGGGTCAGGCAGTGGATGTGCTGTGGTGCTTCGTACAACTGGTTCGTAATGACCCGCATAAAAGGCTAAGTGCATTTCTTCGCTGTTGTCGCCATATGCGTAGGAAAGGGCCCGACACCCGGTGCCGTCGGCATGCCAAACGGTCAGGTTGCATTGAAAGGCAACCGCTACCCAGTGTACGATGTTTTCATCTGCCCAAGCCGCTCTGAGAACAGGTCCTTCCCCCTGTGACAGCACGTCTGTGCAGTAAGCAGCCACAGCGGCGCCTTCTGAAGATGCGGTGCGTGCATATCTTTCCTCGTTAGCAATGGCCGTGGCTGTATTTGCAGCCAGCGAGACGTGTGGATTGTCGATTTGGAACTGCGCGCGAACACCATGCCTAAGCTCTTCATGCGGCGTGCCTGGGTCCAACATGCGCGCTCGTTCGCAGGCTTCCCAAATACGCCATAACACCGGCGGAATTCACCAATTCCCGCTTGACGCACTGCTGATACACCCACATTGACGCCGCGTTGCTGAAACAATAGCCAACGAAAGGCATCAAAAAAGCAATCGCCAGAGCGATAGCCAACAGGATTGCGACGAAGGCCATGTCGGGCGAGGGACGCCTCGAAAACGTGAAACAAGCACGTATTTCGATCCACTTTTCAGCGGTGCGCGTTGAACGAACGAAATGAACGAACGAATGTAACGTAGAGGGACGATGCCCACTTTGTGTCTCTGCGGCCGTCGCGGCAGCGGCAGTCTTTGCTAAGCTGCTTGTATTGAACTACAACTAACCTTTCTATATATTCTAACCAACATATTCGCTTTAACAGTTTTGTTTTTTGCAAGAGGCAAGTCAGCCTTGAGGGAGGCACATCAAGAGGCAACTTAACCTTGGCTTATGGGCTACACGTTGGTTGCAGCTTTACAACGCTACAATGACATTGCTATGGAGATTACGAATCACCTGGACAAACCTGCCAACAGCACTTTGTCTACGCCCTTATGTACAACAATTGGGTTGTCTTCTGAACTCTAAGCCTCTCACTTTTTCAACATACCGTTATACTCAAAACACAGCAACGAATACAACGCCACCTTGTCCGACCGAATCTGCGACCTCGGTGCAGGTACATACAAACTGTACAGGGATACAACATAGGACATGTTCACGGTACAAGAAGGACATAACGCCTCGGTCCGGAATATTTTGAGTGAACGCTAAGACTACGCCCCTAATCGGGGCGAGCCAACCCTAGCCATAAAGTGACGAGACGCATGCGGCAAGACCACTCACACATGGGTCTGCGAACAAGCGCTTCCCACCTGCATGCGCCCGTCGATCGGCCCCCTACCGCACGCCAGGCATGCCCTTCCTGTCCCCTCACCTTTACTTCTTTACCCCCAGCCCCCCTCACAGTGCATCCCTCGCCCTCCTCCCTTCCTGCCCCCTCCGCTCTTCCCCTCTCATCAGACCTAGACGTCCATGTTGCTGGGCGCACGCTGAAGTTCTGCGGATTCGAAGTCCTTTGGTTCTGCAGCCACGCCCACCATCATGGCTGCCCTACCTTAGTGAGCGCCTTCCTGTATGCCCCTGATCTTGTCCGGCGCACGCACCCCCACTTTACGTGCCCACACTCGCACGCATGCAAGCACCCGTAGCTTTACGCGCCCTCTCACCCCATGCAGCCCATCCACGCCAGCAGACATGTATGCATTCCCGGCTTACTCGCACCCTTGGCCCATGCAATCCACGCACGCATGCACGCACCCCCACATTACGAGCCCTCCTGCCCAACGCAATCCACACTCGAACTCATGCAAGCACCGTAGCTTCACGCGCCCCCTCACTCCATGCAATCCACGACAGCGGACATGCATGCATTCCAGTTCACTCGCCCCCTCGCCACATGCAACCCATACACGCACCCCCGCTTTACTCGCCCCCTTGCCCCATGCAACCCACACTCGCACGCATGCAAGCACCCGTAGCTTTACGCGCCCTCTCCCCCATGCAACCCATCCACGCCCGCAGACATGCATGCATTCCCGATTTACTCGCGCCCTTGGCCCATGCAACCCACGCACGCATACATGCACCCCCACTTTACTCGCCCCCTAGCACCGTGCAAACCACGCATGTAAGCAACTCCGATTTACTAACCCCCTTACCCCATGCAACCCATGCACACACGCATGTAAGCAACCCCGTTTTACACACCCCCTCGGCCTATGCAAACCACACACGCATGGCCGCACCCCTGATTTACTTGCCCCGTTCTTTGCCCCATGCAACCCACACACGCATGCAAGCCACCCCGCTTTACTGGTAGGGCCGACATTCTGAGCGTGGGCATTTTTAGGCGTGTTGAATGCACGTGTGCAGCAAGCAACACGGATGGCGTGCTTGGCGATACGATGTGGGCCTGGCCCACACGTCTGCTCACCACTAACGAATGCAGTTCAGCCCGACTTTTGTCAGCAACCGATTTGCAGACAAATAAAAGAAGGACTAGCAAAGCTGGTAATTATGGCAAGGCGCGATAATCACAAGTTGGCAAACAAGGCCCTCCGAAAAAAGGACATCCTACGTCCCTTTTTAGTACGACAATTGTCACTACTTGCCTTTTTACTCGCATGATCGGTGCTGGGTCCCAGGATGCCGTCAAAAAGGCTTGTCCAGTACGGGTATTTTCCTACGCACGTGTATCACATGGGCCAAGCTGCTTTGTTATTGCTTATTTCTATTCATTTGGCAATTCTATGCATTGACCAGAGTTCGTCCTGGCTGTCCGTGGAGGTGCGAGCAATGAGCTGCATAATTGAAGAGTGAGTGAGTGAGTTGTTACAAGCTGTAAGGCCCCGCCCGGCCGTCAGGGCCATGGATCCAGGGCCATGCTGGGCTTATACGACAAAGGTAGTGCAAACAGCAAAACGCCCGACTTCCTCGTTTCCTTTATCGCTCGTTACACCTCCTCGTTTGGATCCATGGCCCTGACGGCCGGGCGGGGAGAACCGGGACCCAGCGCCGTGCGAGCCTCAGAATATATAGGGTGCATGACTTACACAACTGCCTCACATGGGCTCTTATTACATAAATGGTCTATTAAACGCCCTAGTGTTATTTATGTTCAGCGCCACCACTTCACCCTTTGTCATGACACAGCGCGTGTTTGTCATATCGTGTGGCTTAGAGTTGCCGTACGTGCTCGTCCAACCGTGTCTCGCGTATGCGATTTGTGGTCTATCTAGAGGATGTGATGATAGTGCCATTGCTTGAGTAAACGCTGGAAGTTGCGTGACTAGTGTGAGCGCTTGGCCATGGACATGATGTCATGCTTGCTGTGCGACTTGTCATTAGAAGAGACGCTATTTACCGCGATGTTTACATCTTGCTATTGTCTGTTGATTTGTCTATGATATCCTGACTACAGGGAAGGTGGGATATTTACGTGAGCTTTGCCGTACCGTATCGGCATGCTGGCAAGGGTGCGGAGACTCTCGGTGGAGTCACCTTTGCCAGCGCAGCTAGCGGAGAAGACTGAACTTCTTGCGTGTCTTTTGGCCGCCTAAAAGCGCCACTGATATCGCTGTGCGTGTAAAAGGACATTACAACCAATTGGCATCCACTCTCCAGTGTTTCCTCTCTACCCTCGCGCGGGAGCCTGGACAAGCACCCAGGACTACTCCCGTACGCCCAACCCACTCTGGCAAAGGTGAGTTCGGCGCGCGGACGGAGCGACTCCGAAGGGATTGGCTTGCATTGCTGCTGAGAGCACCTGCAGGCAATCCTGAGTCGACCGGCGCATGCCCACGTCCCGAGACGGGCGTGAAGATACGGTAGAGAGCCCACGTAGAGAAGAAGCCACAGGCGGTAGAGTTTCCGGAACCCCGCCGCCCATCCCATTAGCTGAACCTGTTTACCCTGAAGCTTCCGACGCGCGGACAACACGTGCTCTTGCTAGGGCCAACAGTAGAGTTACTGCCTTGCTAGAAGAGGAAGCCTTGCGTGAGGTCCGCCGACAGAAACGCACAGACCGGAGCCGTTCCGCATCTGAGACAGGAGATTCATCTGCCCCGGTTGTTGCCAACGCTCCGTGTGCAGGGACCGAGGAGCAAGGTCAAGACGCTGGTCCGAGCGCTGAACGTGACGCGTCGGACAACGTCGAGACTCGCCTCTCAGGTCCACCGGTAAGTGACCTCAGCCAGCGTATTGGGTCTGGGCCCTCAGGGTCAGGCCAACGTCTCAGCCAGGTCGCCTCAGGAGAGGTTTTAGTGGTCCCAGGAGGGACGTTAGGAGCCCCAGGAGGGGACTTAGGCACAGCATCCCCAAGAGGGGCAGCCACAGCATCCCCAGGAGGGGCAGCCGCCGCAGCGCCAGCAGAGGCCTCGGCTCAAGGGACCTCAGGAGAGGTTGCAGCAAACCCAGGAGGGTCAGCCGCCGTAGCGCCAGCAGAGGCCTCGGTTCAAGGGACCTCAGGAGAGGTTGCTGGAGCAGCGGTCGCACCACCACCTCGCAATCCAATCATGTCGGAGCAACACTGGTGGCCGAGCTTTGTCCAGAGGACCGTGGAGAACTTCCCGCGGTTCGACGGCAAGCCCCAGAGTTGGCTGGCGTTCAAACGGGATGCCACGGCCGCCCTGGAGCTCGCGCAGGCAGCTCTGTCCACCCAGTGGCCCCAGCGACAAGTGGACCTCTACACGGTTGTTGCGCCCCGGATAGGCATGCTCAGAACCACCAGCGGGGCCCCAGACCTGAACTCGCCCGTCGCCACGTGGATGGATCAGCAGAAGGAAAACATCCGGCAGCAACACCAGGAAGGGTACACGTTGCTGGGCAGCGCCATCACCTACACAGGGCAGGGCTACACCACCGCAGCTGGGACCAAGGTCCCCGTGTTGTTGTGGTTCATGCTTGCCAAACTGGAGGCCCGTTTCCGCACGATGGATGTAGCAGCCGTTGATGAGCTTGAGAAGTTCAGGTTCCAGAAGGGGGAGGCGCCCCAGGAGGCGTACGACCGCTTCATCACCCTGAAGGAGCGCGCCCCAGCGGGCCGTTACACAGATCACACATTCGGGCAGTTCTTCCTCAAGGGGATCTCGGACGACGAGATGGCTCGCTTCGTGAAGGGGGAGCTCCTGCGCAGCAACACGACACTATATGACGTGCTGCGCATCATGGAGTTAGCGCAGGCCTACCACAACTTTCCGGACCACCACGTGCGCTCCCAGCCCAAGCCCAGCGTGTCAGCCGCCACCACCACTGTGGAGGAACTGGCCCGCCAACTGAGCCAGCTCCGGCAGCAGATGGCCCAGTATCAGTCGATGGGCGTCACCGGCAACGCCAGCAACGGTGGGGGGGCCAGGGGGGGGGCGCAGCGGGATGCTGGCCACTCCTCCAGGCACCATCAGCGTGGGTTCGACAGGGGGGATGACACCGCCAGCGTCAGCTCCCGACTGCCACGGCAGAACCGTGACGGGGGCGGTGGCCACCGTGACGGCGCGGGGGGTCGCAGGCAGCCCCAGGAGCAGTCCGGCAACCGGCGCTTGTTTAGCAACTGGCGGGAGGAGATGAAGAGGCGCTTCCCCGACGCGCCCAAGGGCCAGGGGCCCTGCACGGTGCCGGGCTGCCCCTTTCCAGCCCACCATGGCGCCGAAGGGTGCTATGTTGACCTCAGCCGCAAGAACAACATCCCCATACCGCCGGGCCTCCTGAAGAAGCCGGCAGTCGTCGCCGCCGCCGCAGCAGCTGAGGACGTGCCGCTGGATGAGGCGCAGTTTTGTGGCGCCGTGACGCTGGCAGATCGCCAGTTTGCCTGGCTGGACGCCGTTCCCAGCCTGCCGCAGGAAACCCCAAGCAGCAACGGCAGCAGCCCTTCTGAGGTGCTGACCGCCGCAAGTGAGGTAGCAGAGCCGGCCCCAACGGGTGGCGTTCCCTCAGCTGTGGAGGAGCCTGACGACGTGCAGCGCGCCGCTGCCGCTCGTGAGCGCCTTCCTGCCGGCTTCCTGCAACGCCCTGTGCAGCCTAGCCAGCCAACCGCTCTCAACCGCTACGGCCTCCAGGAGATCGTCCTGGAGGTGACGGTGGGTGACGCCGTGCAGCGCATGCAGTGGCAGGGGTCGCAGGGCATCTCCCTACGACTGGAGGCCATCCCGACGAAGTGGGGGGCGGACACCTTTGGCCCGCTCGGACCACCCACAGCAGCCGCGACCACACCTGTCAGCTGCAGCTTCGGACCGTGTGAACCCATCCACGCGCCTGGGGTGCTGACGCTAAGCAAGTTCGCGCAGCTGACTAAGTCAGAGCGCATGGATGCCCTGCGCAGGTACCGTGAGAGCCCGGGAGCGCTGCAGTACGTGTCCTCGCAGCACTTTGCGGTGGGGAAGGGACAGCGCCTGGTGCGGCCCAAGCTCTCATTGGTCGACAGCGGCAGCGACGTGTGCCTGATAGCACAGCACGTGGCCGACAGCGGTGAGTTCACGGTAGAGCCTGATGCCCACGCAGTTGTGACCGTGGGGGGCCGCACTAGCCGTCTGGGTCGGGTCAAGGGGGGCCTGGAGGTCGTCCTGTGCCCCGGCACACCCTATGAACGCCGCAGCCGCCAGGAGGCCCTGGTCGTACAGGACGCAGTGGCTAGGGGATTGTTCGACTTCCTGTGGGGGCAGAGCAGCATGCATGCACTTGGGGTCTCCACCCTGAGCTTCCCCCAGCCGTCGGTGTCGTACATCCTCAACCTAGACTGCTGTGCTGACGAACCCCCGCAGACTGTCGTGCTGCCCACTGTCAACAAGGAGGAACCGGACGCCCCTGACGCTCAGGCGCGCCTCTGTGAGCTCGCCTCCGCCGTCCGTGCAACGTCGCAGCGGACACCCTCAGTCCTCATGACCCGCGCCGCCCAAGGGGACGCGACGGAGGAAGAGGAGCTGGACTATGACGATGAGCCGATGGATGAGCAGGGGGGAGAGGCCGAGGACGAGGATCTAGAACTGCTGTTGGCAGAACCCGCAGCTGACCCCGCAGCCGACCCTGCTGCTGCCGGCCCCTCCCAGCCCAGCCGGCCAGCAGTGCCCTCGCCCCACCAGCTGTACGGACGCCTGCCGCCAACGCGGGCGCCGCCACCTCAGGAGGCAACCGGCAGCAGGAGCCCGCCCAACAGCGTCAGGACGCCCTGGACCTTAGCCACATCCAGGACGCCAAGCGCCGAGCCCTCCTGCAACAGAATGCGGGCCCCATGTTAGCGGCTCACAAGGCTGACCACCGGGAGGGGTTCCTGAGGAGAGGCAGGGTCCTGTACCCCGACATGCCGAAGGGCACGGGCCCTTGCCAACACCCGGGGTGCCGCCAGCGACAGCACCACAGCACGGAGAACTGCTACCTCAGGCACCTGCAGCGTGAGATCAGCGGAACCCCCAGCTCGCCGCCCCATGAGGACGACCGCTCCCGAGAACGCTCACGTGAGCGCCAGCGGCGCAGCTCCAGGGAGCGCTCACGTGAACGTCAACGACGCAGCTCTCGAGAGCGCAGACCGCCGACGCCGCCACCGAGGTACAGGGACCGCTCGCCCCCGCGAGAGTGCCAGCAGCATGCGCGGGGTCACCCCTGGGGGCAGGCGCCGCCCGGAAGGGGTCCCCCAGTGCTCACGCAGGCAGCAGGATCGGCAAGTGTCTTCGGGCGCCTGCAAGCGTACCAGCACGGCACCCAGCAACGGACGCTGCTCAGCTTTGCCCAGGACCTCTCTGCCGCGCCCGTCATCACCGTGGGGTCCAAGCCCTCTATGGACAGGGAGCTGGAACGTCGCACGCCCCCACATGTGGCCTTCGACACGGGCTGCAGCTTCCTTGGTGCCGTGGATCACGCCTGGGTGGAGCACGCCCGGGTGCCGTTCGTACGGGAGCCCATGCCTGTGCAGGTGGCAGGCAGCTCGACCTACGCAGTAGGCTACGTACCCAACGGCGCCATCAGCCTCTTCGATGGGCGCCGCCCCCACGACTTCTATGGGGACCTGCTGGTGTTCTCGAATCTGCCAGCCGCGGTCGTGATAGGGCGGGCGTTCCTGGACGCTACCAACGGCCGCATCACGTGTGGGCCCCACGCGTTAGTCGAACTGCTCCCACCGGGCGCCAACCAGTGGGTGACGCGCCCGCTGCACTCGTACGAGGCAACTCGACCCACGCTCATGCTGATGGAGACGCCGCAACCCTCCGTCAGCCCCAGCCAGCGCAGAGCAACCCCAGCGAGGAGCACTGACCCTTGGGTCACCTCACTGGCCGTCACCCCGCAGCACTTGGCGGCCCAGCAGTGGGCCGCCGACATCCCGCTGCCACCGGATGCCGGTGAGGGGCTGGATGCTGGGGAGGAGGACGACGACCCGCCCGGCATGGCAGATGAGATTGAGGCCCTCCGGCAGCACCAGGAGCCGTGGGACTCACTTGCGTGGAAGCGCAGCTGGGAACGGACCCTTGCGCGCCGCCTGAAGCGGCGGCACCTCAAGAAGCTGCGGAAGGAGAAGCTGCGGCAGAGCGCAGCCAAGGAGGCTGCGGCTGCGCAGGCTGCACGGCTGCGGAAGGAGGCAGTCAGCTCCTACAAAAAGAAGCTGCGTGCGCTCAGGGCAGGCCTCCCGCTGTCGCAGGAGCGACAGGAGGAGCAGGTACGTGAGCCAGGTCGCAATTGGGGTGGTTGGTGGCGTGAGAAACGCGAGGCGATGCCGTCGCCCGCAGCATGGGGCAAGGGGACGGCCAGGGCGGTTCGGTCGCTAGGGCCACTGCTCACGCTCATGCTAGTCGCCTGGTGTGTCAACCAGGGCAGCTCACCGCCGCACAGACCACTTTCCACGCAGTATGAGGCAGAACCCCTTGGCGGGGTGCTCACACCCCTACCACCTGCCGTTATCCTGCAACGTGCGTACCATACCCTCACGATCGCGCACGACAAGACCGCGCAGCCCGCAGCCTTGGCTACTGACTCACCCGCACACCTCACGGCCCCGGACGGCCTGCGTCACCCTGCACATGCCTCGACCCTGCAGAGAGACGAGACCGGAGGCTACTACTGGTGCAACCGTCCGGACATAACCCCGCAGCAACGACAGCAGCTGCAGGAGCTGGTCCGGGCCAATGATCAGGTGTTTGCCCGCTCCCTGAAGGAGCTGGGCTGCTACAACGGTGAGTGCGGGCCAGCAACCATACACCTCTCGCACAGTAGGCCCATCTATGAGCCCCCCAGACGGTACTCCCACAAGGAGTATGAGCTCATGGATGAGAAGTGCGCAGAGCTTAGGGACGCAGGCATCATAGAACCGTCAACCAGCTCGCAGTATGCAATGAACAGCACCATGCCGGTTAAGAAGGCGGCAGATGGGTCCTGGACTGAGCGGCGCTATTGCCTGGATGCAAGAGCCTTAAACGCCGCCACCACTCCTGACCTCTACCGGCCTCCCAACCCGGAAGAGCTGTTTGAACGCATAGGGCCTGCACGCTGGTTCACAAAGTGTGATTGCCGTGCCGCATTCAATCAGATCCCCTTGCGCCAAGAAGATAGGCAGAAAACCTCCTTTTGGTGGCGCAACTCGTTGTGGCAGTACACTAGGACACTGTACGGCTTGCGCAATGCCACGGCTCAGTTTCAGCGCATGATGGACACGGAGATCCGCAAGGCGGGCCTCGGGCACTGCTGTGTTGCTTTCGTGGATGATCTGTTGATCTTCTCAAACTCCGCAGAAGAACACATTCAGCATGTACGGCTGGTGCTGGAGATGCTGAAGCGCATTAACGTGCGGCTGCACCCGGACAAGACCGTCTTCGCAGCAGATTCGGTGGAGTTCCTTGGCCACATGGTGAGTGCGGACGGGTTACGACCCATGCAAGCGAAAATAGCAGCGATACAAGCGCTTAAGCCGCCCACGAATGCGACCGAGCTGTTGAGCGTGTTAGGGCTTTGCAACTACTACCGGTGCTACCTACCCCGGTACAGTGAGTTGGCAGCACCGCTCACCAGGCTCACGACCAAGTCCACCATCTGGAACAGTGAAACCTGGAAACCAGAACACCAGGCCGCATTTGACAACCTTAAGCGCCGCTTTGCAGAACCAGGCCTACTCCTACGTAGGATGGACCCCATGCGCCCGTGCATCTTACACACTGACTTCAGCACGTTAGGGGTTAGTGCCGTCTTAGGGCAGCTAGATGACGATGGAAACGAGTATATGGTGGCATGCGCCTCCCGTTCGCTAAACGAACACGAACGCAACTATACGTCGTACAAGGGGGAAATGCTGGCAGCATGCTGGGGCATGAAAATCATGCGCCCATACCTCCTTGGGGCCTCCTTCGTCCTAGTAACCGACCATGCGCCTCTGCTATGGCTCATGGAAAACAAGGCCCTGACAGGACAGTACGCGCGTTGGGCACTCACCATGCAGGAGTACACCTTTGACGTAGCTCATAGGCCGGGAAAGTTGCACAACAATGCAGACGCGCTGAGCCGCAGCCCGTTGCCAACCACTGAGGATGGAACGGGTGCTCGCATGGATGACGACTCAGATCCCGTGCCCCAGCCGCCAAAGTTAGTACCCCACCCAGCTAGAGTAACCGCAGGAGCGCCGCTAGTTACCGGGTCGGTGGCCATGCTGCAGACGGTCACGGATGTCATAGCCCTGAAGTCGCGAATGCAGCTGGATAAGCACCACGCCGTGATGGCCGCAGCTGCCGAGGAAAACACAATCGCCTCGGTTCTGGCGCCCACGGCAACCGACCTGCTGTCCGGAGGCAATGGAGTCGCCTCTGACAGCGCTGAACAACCGGCGGTAGATGGACTCACCAAGGCGCAGGAGCGCACTGGTGCGTTGAAGCGGGGGGCTCACAAACTGGCTAGGGAACAGCGTCATGCTCTTAGGGGGATTGCAGCACATGCGCCAAGACCACAAACGGTGATGGGGACTCAGGAAGAACCAGGAGACACAGTCTCGCTGAACACCACTCTAGTGTCCCATCACTTTTTAGACCGCGCGCACACCGAAGGCCTAGTTGTACTGGAGTACGGCGGGGGCCATGCCGCTGGGCTGGAAGCAGTCCTGCGGGCTGGATGGCGTGTACGTCGCTATCTCGTACACGGCCACACACCCGACCAGCAAATCATAGTTAGGCACCGCTTAGCCTTACTGCGTGCTGAGTACCCCGAACAGCTGATGGCAAGAGCCATCAACCACGTGTTCCATTGGCCACCCTCCGCACGACTGGGAGAAGCAGATCTTAAAGGCGTAGCAGCAGACAAGGGCGAGCAGTGGATGGTCACGGCAAGCCTTGTGGATGCCAAACCGGAGGACGTGCACGGCGTGAGAAACCTACTAGGTGCCCTGCAACGTCTTCAGCCTCGCATGCCACCTGCCTACGTCATTGAAGCTCAGCCAGGCATGCAGTGGGCAGACTCGTTTGGCCCCACCTTGCTGGTTGACACTGCTCAGCTGGGTCAGGCCAGGCACGCACTCATGGTGTATCATACCAACCTGGCTGACACTCAACACCTTCACAGCATAGCTAAAACACATGGTCAGGTGACTCAAGGCATGCACGACCTACGGCTCTGCCTGGAGGTGGCACAAGGACAGTTGCCCGTTGCGCAGAAAGCGGAGGAAAGCCCCCACTTTCCACGCAACACACCCGGCAAACCCTGTGCTGTCGTACCTCCAGGAGACCTGTGGAGCACTAGAGTGAGCCTACCTGAATCCACTGGTAACATCACCAAACGACCGCTCCGCATCAGTGAGCTTGAAAGAGTGCTAGGTTACGGGTCAGGGACAACGGCCGCCAAGGGTGCAACGGATGACCTGAGAAAGGAAGCCTTACGCAGCGGGATAGCCACGCCGGTGGTATCTCATCTAGCAGCGTGGGCTGAAGCCCTGCACAAAGCCTACATTACCCCGCACCACATGGCAACTCTCCAGCCACGGTGGGCACATGATGACTTAGCTACGGCCTCCCAGCTGGGGGGGAGTGGTGAGTCACTGGAAGCTGGGCTGCCTACGCTTGGGCTCAGCCTGATCATGCTCACAGCCAGTGACGTCAGCTTGTATGAGTGCACCCAGCATGCGGCAGCTGTAGCTGAGCTCCTGGATGCACAGCCAACCAACCTGTCGGATGTGTGGGATGACGCGAATACCCTGCACTACCTTCGCAACATGGCCGCCCCAGAGGGCGTGGATGCCGTGGAGCTGAAGAGGGTGTTGCGTCGGGCACGATCTTACCGCTTCCAGGGGCAGGAACTGCTTAGGCTGATGGCCAATAGCTCAACTCGCATCTGCCCTCCGCCTGAGCAGCGGGAGGCGCTGATTGAGCAAAGCCACCGGCGCCTGGGCCATTTTGGAATGCGCCGTACCGCGGGCTTGATCAAACTGAGCTATTGGTGGAGTGGCATGCATGCTGACGTTTCCTCAGTGGTGTCAAGGTGCAAGCTCTGCGACAGGGCAAACACCACTGGCAACGTGCGTCCTGAGGAGCTGCAGCCTTTGCCCATCAAGGGACCCATGTATCGTTGGGGTGTGGACCTGTGTGGGCCATTCCCTGAGACAGCACGTGGAGACAGGTACGTGATGGTGGCGATTGAGCACTTCAGCAAACACATTGAGTTGATTCCGTTGCCCGACAAGACAGCGAAGAGCACGGCGCAGGCCTTCCTATCGAATGTCCTAGCCCGTTTCTCTGCACCTGCCGAGGTCTTGACTGATAGGGGCGCGGAATGGCAAGGGGAGTTCGCAGCGCTCTTGGAGCAGTGCGCCATTGATCACCGTGAAACGTCCGCTGAGCACCCCCAGACCGATGGGGCAGCAGAGCGGATTGTGCAGGTGGTCAAGCGAGGCTTGCGAAAGTACTGCGCGCAGGAGGGTAGGGCTCAAGCATGGGATGAGTTCCTGCCATGGATGGCACTGGGCTACCGTTGCTCTCCTCAGGCGTCCACACGAATGACGCCGTACTTTCTGCTGTACGGGGTGGATCCTGTGGTGCCGCCTGCAGTGCGTGAGAGGTTCGCGGAGCCCCTGGACCCGACCAACGAACAGGAGTTCAAACGTTTCCTTCAGGTTAGGGGGGAGGCACTTAGGCACGCGATCCCTGCCGCAGCTGGAAACCTCTTGATTGCCCAGCACCGTGATTGCTATCAGTACGCTAGGAAGCGCGCCGGGGGATACAAGCCACGGTTCGAACGGTTTGAACCTGGGGACTACGTGTACGTGATGCTGAACAACACGAACAGCACGCTGCAGATGCCGGTGCGGGAGAATGTGCTGCGAGTCGTCTCAGTGGATCCCAACGGTGTAGCTACGTTGGTGGGCCGCTGTGGGACCGAGCGCAAGGAGCATGTGACACGGCTTGCGCCCTGTCATCTGCCTGACCTGGATCCTATCGTAGACCCACGCATTGCTGTGCCGCCCTTGGACCTGGAGTGCGAAATCTGTGGCTTCCCGGACCAGCCGAGCAAGATGTTGCTTTGTGACTCGTGCGGTTCCGGGTGGCACATGCACTGCCTGAAGCCAGCCGTCAAGAAGGTGCCCAAGGGGACCTGGATTTGCCCGGATTGCGTCGAGCAAGGAGTGACCCCGCAGCAGATTGACGCCAAGCCGCTGGTACCCGCACCTGCTCCCGCTCCCCAACTGTTCCCTTCCGCCAGGCAGAGGAGGCGCGCCAAGGCCGCTGAGGCGCTCCAGGGGCGCGTCTTGAGGAGGTCAGTCAAGGATCCGAAGACGCTCTGCCTGAGGGAGGAGATAGGCGTGATCAACGGGGAGGAGGTCCAGGAGGACTACGCTGGAGTGATGGTGGAGTACGGGGGAGGAGCTTTTGAGCGAATGAACGTCAGCGTGGCGCAGCAGCTGCTTCTGGACGAGGAGTCAGCCTGGGGCGCAGCCCGCACCCTCCGTACTGTGGCAACTACCCGTGCTGCACGGCTCCCGGATAGCTGGGACTTAACTTCGCGTGAGGGGCTGAGTGCGGCGATGGGGGAGCTCATGCCGGGGGCTTACAGTGATCGCCACCTGGGCAGGTTGGTTAACCGTGTGCCAGGGGGCAAGCAGTTTCAGTATGAGTGTGTACCCACGGGGATTGAGGAGGTGAGGCCTTTGCTGGAGAGCATTCGTTTTGATGAGTGTGCGGGCATCTTCGACCCGTGGTGTGGAACAGGTGGGGTCGCCAGGGCGTTTCGCGAGGCGGGACACTCGGTCTTTGGCAATGACGCCAACCCTGCTTGCGCTGCTCACATGCACCGTGACGCGTTGCAGCCTGGCACGTACCGTGAGGCTATGAAGGTCTATTCCTACGAGGCCATTGTTGCGTCTCCTTGGTTTGCGGTGCTTGATGTTGCACTGCCGTTGGCTACCCGTTTTGCACCTGTCGTTGCGTTTCACGTGCCGGGGCACTACGTGACGGATGCCACGGCGGCTCGGACCAAGTACCTGGCGAAGCTGCAGGAGGAAGGACGGCTTGCGTTGTTGCTGGGACTGCCAAGAGGGCCGATGGGGAGGCGGTGTGTGTGGGTTTGCGTGTTTGCCACTCGCGAGTGGCGGGAGAGGATGTTGAAACCGGTTGTAGGACGAAATGAGGTCTGGTTGCTGAAGTGAAGTAGGCGCGTGTTGAAGGGGATGCAGAGGTTGCTGTGCTACTTTGCTGTCAGTTCTGGTGCGCTGTGTTTGTGTGTTGCTTGTGGCCGCTGTAGACAGCTTCCGACCTCCGGGTTCTCAGCTGGGGGGGGAGTTGTACTGTCGGGCCTCCGTCGCAACAGCACGTGATACGTCATGACAGCTGTCATGACACAGCGCGTGTTTGTCATATCGTGTGGCTTAGAGTTGCCGTACGTGCTCGTCCAACCGTGTCTCGCGTATGCGATTTGTGGTCTATCTAGAGGATGTGATGATAGTGCCATTGCTTGAGTAAACGCTGGAAGTTGCGTGACTAGTGTGAGCGCTTGGCCATGGACATGATGTCATGCTTGCTGTGCGACTTGTCATTAGAAGAGACGCTATTTACCGCGATGTTTACATCTTGCTATAGTCTGTTGATTTGTCTATGATATCCTGACTACAGGGAAGGTGGGATATTTACGTGAGCTTTGCCGTACCGTATCGGCATGCTGGCAAGGGTGCGGAGACTCTCGGTGGAGTCACCTTTGCCAGCGCAGCTAGCGGAGAAGACTGAACTTCTTGCGTGTCTTTTGGCCGCCTAAAAGCGCCACTGATATCGCTGTGCGTGTAAAAGGACATTACAACCAATTGGCATCCACTCTCCAGTGTTTCCTCTCTACCCTCGCGCGGGAGCCTGGACAAGCACCCAGGACTACTCCCGTACGCCCAACCCACGACGAGCAAGTCACACTTTAGCATACAGATAACTAGGTTTCATATTGTGCTATTGTTAGTGCTAAGTAGTGATTGCCAAAGGACAGGATCACCGCTCCCAAAGGTTGCGATGCTGGCAGAGGGACGTTTTCCGAATTCTAGGCTTTGCTTGCATAAGGGTCATACCGCATGCTGCGGAGTAAGCTGCAAAGGTCTAATGCACAGCGGAGGGAGTACACGGTGCTGCAACTGGAAGCGTCAATGTCGATAGCCCTATGGCATATAATGGTTGCTGCTACCAAGTAAAATGTCTGGTTTTAAAAACTGGATTGGTTACCAGGCTGGTAACTAAGTTGGTTTCGTGGAGGTACATCCCATGGTTACAGCATTACTAGGCCTGGTAAACAACCCCATGACAGGTTGTTAACAGGCATGGTTTATTTCCGTCTGTCATGCAGACCAACCCTAATATCATACCCCTGCTATCACACAGCGTTTAGAGTCTTCACACTAGTCATAACTATCAAATAAATCAAATAAAACAAGATCTGTGCCTCAATTGAATACCCCCCTACTGATGTAATACCTTATATTGCTTCCTCTCTCCTATGAAATCCTCCCTCTTCATCTTAACTTGCTTCCTCTCCTATGAAGTTCTCTCTCTCTCTCCGAAGCACATACCGATCAAAATGCGCCCAACCGGATGAAACAGTCTGCACACCTGCAAAACCGGTCTTTCTTTCAGCCGTCACTTCCTTCCCTTGCCCTTGCTGCAGCTCTTGGTGCCCCTGTTGCCGTCGTCTTTGCGGCTGCTGCCCTTGCTGATGCCGTTGCCCACACGTCCGCCCTTGCCCTTGTCAGCCTTGTCCTCCGCCGTAAAGGACTTGACGACGAGTCCGAAGGCCTTCTTGTCCACCGCCAACTTGTCCATTATGTTGGTGCCGGAAACCGGTTGCGAAGGTGCAGACGTCTTGTGCTTCTTCACTTGCTCCCGCTGATACTCCTCGGTCTCCGCCTGCTCCTTGGCCTTCCTGGACGGCTGTCGTGCACGCTTGGAGCGGCCCGTTGGTGCTACCTCCTCATGCTGCGCCCCAAGCTCCATGGCAGCTGCATTGGTAAAGGGGCAATGACATGCATTTAACATTATACCACGAATTTGCAGGATTGAAAATCATATGCAATGAGCACAGCGCTGATCTCTGCTAAATGGAAATCCTCGGCCGTTGTGTCGTATCGGCAGCGGCAGACTTGCCGTACACATCCCTAGCGGCTGCGGCGACGGCGGCGGTGCAAGCCCCGCGTCACATGCACATGCTGTGTCACGTGCGTGTATGGCGGCGGCCGCCGGTAGTCCCGAAACACCCACGGGTAACCGCCCCCCTTACCCTTGCGGTCACTGATGCCATCGCGGCGAACCTTCTCCTGGCGATCCTTTCCTGCACACGGATTTGCCTTACCCTCAATTCCATACCATGGGTTAAGCATGTAAGTGCCGTACAGGTCACGTACAGGACTGATGCGTTTCGTTTAACTCTTATTCGAATACTGATATAAATGTCTAGATATGGTCATAAACCATTACCGATTCGGCCCTATCCCCTTTCTTACCTTCCTCGACGCAGTCCAGCTTGCGCTTGGCCGCCTTTCCCGCAGGCGGGAACCCTCCGCCCCTGCTTCCATCGCCGCGGTGGCCTCCTTCATCGCTTCTGTAGCTCCCGGTGTCGCCGCTACTGCCGCTCGCATCGCTCCTACCGCTGCTGCCACTTTTGCCGCTACTCCTGTCGCTGTCATCGCCACTGTCGCCAGAACTGCTCTTGCCGCTGCTGCTGCTGCTGCTGTCTGCCCTGGTGCTTGCAATCCCTCCTTCGGGCTCAGGAGACGGGTCGGCCTGGGTGAGGGGGTACTCCTCATTGCCGACGTGAGGCGGGGTGCCGCCGTCGTTGTAGCGGCCGCCGTCCTCATAAGCGGCGCGCGTTCCCTGCAGGCGCCGCTCCACGTCGCCGCTGCGGGTCTTCTTCTCCTCCTCCCAGTGGCGGCCCTTGGCTGGCGGCGGGGTGCCACCGTTGTCGTAGCGGCCGCCGTCCTCATAAGCGGCGCGCGTTGGACGTGGAGGTGCTCATGAGCATTCCTGCCAAGCTGGGTGCTGAGGTAGCACCTGGCCTCGACGACTCGAGCGATGTTGAAGATGAGGAGGCGGCAACAATGTGGGAGCCTGGCAAGTTCTACGCATCGTCACCTACTGTTAAGATGGTTCGTGGTGCGACGGAGATTGGTGTGTTGGGCAGAGACTGGCAGGGGATTCCGGATATGTACTCGCGGTTGCATATCCAAGGCCATGTAATTGAGCCCACGGGAACCTTGGCGCAAACAGTTTCCAATGTGGGCCTGTGAAGGGCCTGTGAAGTTGTCGGTTAAAAAATGTTTTTTGCTGAAGCCGGCGGCAGGAAACACACTCATGAAGTTTGGGAAAGTAGTTCAAATCCTGCATCACAAGGGCCCTGATGGCGTGGAGCGTTGCTTAGTGGAGGCGGATTGGTACACAGCGACGTCTCAGGGGCGTCAGGTTGACGGGGATGTGAGATGCCCAATTGTTAGAAACGAGGTTCGGGGCAGGTCATGGTGCCTCGCCACGGAGATTGTCCCTTGGGCCTGCTGGGGTATCCTTGACACGAGAGTGGAGGGGCAGATTGTGGTTATGGCTAGGCATTGGCATATCACACGGTTTCTCCCACCGTACCCCATTTTCTAATAAGCAAGCAAGGTGCGGTGTAATGGATGTGATTTTAAAAACAAATGAAATGTGAACGACAATTGCATGAAGAACTGGGGAGCAGATGACGAATTTGACTGTTTCTGTACAATTAAAAATATGTGACGATAATGCATTGTGATCAGTGATTTGTTTTGAGCGATATATCGCTTTTTGAGCGATAAATAATTGGTCCTAGGGCCGTGAGAAAGCGATAAGGTGTCTGTGCCCAGGGTATCTCATCGCTCACACACCCCCTGCCAGACCCTCTACATGCTAGGGATTTGGGCCCAGGAGGGCACTGGAACCAGTGAGAAGCGCCTCCACATTGGGGTTTAAGGGGCTATGGGCACGTGTGACCCCAGGAGGCCGCCTTAGGAAGCGATAAGCCCCGAAACCCCTCGGCTTGGCTGGCTGGGAAAGCGATAAGCGGTTGCCCAGGCCCGATTTCTATCGCTCGAGCAGCGATACAAAAATACCCCCTCGAAAACGAAAAAAAACGCTGATTGTGATGAGGTGAAAGGGCGTGAAGTTTAGTAGCCTAGCTACGTGTTTCCAACGGGTTTTCGGTTTGCAGTTGTTACTTAACAATTATTCTCCTAGCTGGAGAGGCGCAGGGTGTTCTGTATTTACATGGCTCACATCCGTGACCGGTATGTAACCGTAACAAGAAAATGGCCCATGGGTCCCGTCTCGATGTCCACAATCCAAGCAAGACAGGCAATAGCATTCCTTAGGTGGAAGGGGAATGGCATGTCTGAGGGGTAGGCGGAAGGGATGCATAGACAGAGAGGGTAACGGGTGTGCCGTTGTATGGGCGTAATATAAGCAAAGCAGCATTGTGTTTGCTTCGTCCGCCTATGCCAAGCCTCAATTGTGCGGATTCGTGAGCCAGGTGGCATAACATCGGTACATCAGGGCCCCTCTATCTAAACGTATGGGTAGTTCCATTGTGACTTACAGCGTAGCACTTCTTCCATGTCGTCACCCGCATCGTCGTACATGTCTTCTATGCTAGCGAAGGACACGCGATCTGGTAAGGAAAGGGAGGGGAGGGTTTTGATCGTACAGCATGAGGTAATGACCTGTGTACGGCAAAAGGACTGTGGAGGGTATCAGCTGGTGGAATCCGCTGCGTCTTCCGGAAGCGTGTCGTACAGCAAGGGCGGTTGCTCGACTGCTTGTTTTGTGGGGTCATAGAAAAAGAGCATGGAAACGCAGGTGTTCTATGGTTAGGTGTTATGGTGATAAGAAAGGGTAGAGAAATGCGACGAATTGTCAGCAGGGAATGGCTTCTTCCTCCCCCCAGCAAAAACGGTCATTGCGGCAAAACAAGTTAGTAGGCGAAGCTCACTTTCATAACCAGGTTGATGCTCTGAGGCGTTGGCCCCGCCGCTGCCGCCTGAGACACTGCCGCCCCCTGCCGAGAAGCTCGCGTCCGAGTTGTTGCCACCATAGCCCCTGCCGCCCGAATTGCTCACGCCTGGGTCGCTGCTGGCGCCTGAGCCGCTGCTGCTCTACTCTCACCAGAGCCGTTTCTGCCGCCAGAGCCGCTGCCACCTGAACCACTGCCGCCTGCTCTATCGCCCAATAAGGGGCTGCCTTCTGCTGAGGGGCTGTACCCTGAGGCACGGCCTGCTGTCGATGGGCTGCCGCCTGACATGCTACTCGCTTGCTGGCCGTTGCTGCTGGTGGATACAGCCAGATAGGGACTACCCAACTCCATGTTGCGCGGCGTTTGTCCGCCTAGCTGCATGGGGCTACCGGCGTTGCCTACGATGGCGAAAAGAGTCATCAGTTCTGTGCGGTAAAATGTAGTTCATAGCTTGAGTGTGGACTCACCTTGACTGTCAGGCTCGAGTTGCACGCCTAGGACTTGTGAAAGCGTTGTCCGGCGGTCACCACGCAACTGCATTGGGACCTTGGCTTTGGCTTGCTGATGCTGGAGCTGGAGCAACCGGGCTGCTGAGTGCTCTCCATAATGCTCCAGGCAGAAGACATAATCGCTATTGCTGACACGATCGCTGCTTACAGCGGCCTCATCAAAGGATGACGATGCTAGGTTGCCACCGAGACATACGTGTTTGTAAATCGAGTTGCTTTTATAATTTCTTGTGCAAATGCTACAAGACAAGGAGCCGTCGGCGTGTAACAAGACATTACTCTCGCGTAACCGCGGCCATGGCGTCTTGCTTGTAAGGTGAGCATCCATTGTCCCCTAAGACATTGTAATGTTAAAGTAGTATTGTGAAGGCTTCGTTGGTTTCCCGGCCCGTTGTCTAACAGCCGACTGGTGTACAGCAGGCGGTTCAAACCGACCAGTAGCTGTCTCACTGTGATTGGTGGACAGCGAGATAAACACGATAAACAATCATGTTTAGCACAATGTGCCTTTCTCTAACAGATGTTGTTTGGTTGATGCCAGATTTAGGTTAGAAATCAATGTGGGCTCAAACAAGGCTGCGTACTTTGCCCTCTGACGCTAAGGGGCCGTTTACATATGCGCGAAACTAAAATCAAAAAGGCAGAAACCAACTTTCTGTCGCATAGAACTCCCAATTTTCGTTTCGCTTTCGCCCCGATCTTTCAAGAATTGGGAGCGTGATCGAAATCCTACACGTAGCTGAAATTGCGGAGTCTGGAGGTGCTCGGGTGAATTTCTGCACGCGGGATTTTAATTACGGTCACGCATATGTAAACGGCCCCTAAGGCACCCAGCATGACTCGGTGATTTAGTGACTTTTCACTCAATGCATTGATGCCAATATCAATCTGCCTCAAGGCCACTCAATCCACCTCAAACTGCCTCAAACGGTTGTGAGCAAACTAAATCAAAACGGCTTCTGGGAGTGCATGCCGAGGGTGTGCTAACAGTAGGCAAGACGCGCGCTGCTGATATTACGGGAAATGGCACGAAAACGTCCATGGCATGACGCAATATTAAGAAACCCGTCAGCTTCGCAGACACCGGGGCTCGCCCCCATTTTAAAAAGCGAACTCGCTGTCAAGTAGTGCCCAGGCTGTTTCAGTGCTGGCTTTGTTGGAGGTGAGAGGAGTGGAGGGAGGTTGTACAGTTGGGATGCGTATTACATGTCAGTGGTATGCGTAGATGCGGCAGTGCGGTCCTTGGGCGTGCCTGTGTGACCCTGCTTCCCCGTGATTCGACGCGAGGTCTGGCGGTGCGTAGAGCTAGTGGAAACGGGAACAAGGGTCGTCAAGAGCAAAACCCTAGCTGCACCGCCAGCCTCCTCTATCCCAACGTATGCATGCAGGCGCCTCATAGGACATTTTGTGCTAAAACAGTCCGCCATGCAAACAAACAGCCTGCAAACTGCCGGTTGTCCCACCTTTTGCGTCATCTCAAGATGATGCGAAATGTGTAACCCAGATGCGTACGTCACACAGAGCATTTGCTAAAACAGTCCGCGGTCGAGAATGATGGCAGCGGTGCATGGTGCAGGATACTTGCTTGCAATGGCGTGCGAACGTGCTTCCCTGTTCATCACAGCCCATGTCCGGCATCCAGCTGCTGCTGCTGCGTTGTCAAGCGCACTCTTGAACAAGGAGGCGTGCCAGTCGGACCACGTCACCTTTTGAGTGCTTGTAGTGGCTGCAGGAGCATGCTTCCATTCCAACAAGGTCGTCACATATTGCTTCAGTTCTCCTTTCGGATAGTACAGCACGCGCCTGACTTGCGCCTTTTTCAGGCGGATGTCGTTAGAGGCAAGGTGTGCCAACAGCATGTCAACAAGAGCAGCTTTTGTTGTGATGGCGGGGCGAGTGGCCAGCGCTGCTACTTCCTTGGCAGCTGTAAGTACAGCGTCAGAGATTGACATGGGGGCTGCCTTGTCCTCCGTTGCCATAGGTGACAACACCGCTTCTGCCGCAACATTCTGCGTGGCTGTGGGTTTTGGTGTTGGCAGGGGCTGTTCCGTTTTGGTCACAGGGGATGATTCTGTTGCTGGTTTGCCAGTCTTTGATGCTTTGGTTTCGTTGTGTGTGTGTGAGGCGTTGCCGTCAAGCTTTCCCAAAAGCTGCAGGACGCGAAGCTTTAGTTCTGGGCACGGCCTCGTGATGATATTGTATACCTGGCTGTTTAAAGCACTTTGGCCATGACGTGCAAGCTCTGTCACAAGGGCATCTGCAAGCTGCTTATGTCAGGGCCAATGGCTGTCGCTGTCCTAATAGTGCGGCCTGGCAAACGTCTGGGGGAAGGCTGAAGGAATGTATACTATCCCTAATGATCAGGCAAAGCAAAGGCAATTGCCCTAGTGTGGCCCAGACCACACAGTGTTGTAGCGCAACTGTATCAGATCAGATAGCCATATGTGTTACAACTCGGATCATACCTCAAAGCGCGGGCATGTCATCTCTTGGGTCGGGCACAGATTGCCACGAAGTCACTCCCAGCAGAATAGGGATGCAGATACTCAATAAAGATATCAACCTGTTCACGAAACTGTTAGACTGCGCAGGCCACGTTAGGGGCAGCTGGACGCAAGTATACTCGATGGATGCGCGGGCCACTTCTGGGCGCCTTCACGCAATACCTGATATTGGAATCCTGTTAGTATTGTTGATAATCTATCATGAGCCTCTACACAACCGCAACCGCACGGTAGTGCCAAAAGGTGCGCTCCGCCGCACCTCCTCAGCCTAAGAGCAAGGCGGGAACCGTAAGCACAGGCCCACATGACACCCTGATGACACCAGATACGCGCCAAGATACCAACTGACTGCGTTCACTCAGGTACATCCAACCAGATAACCAATATTATAGCAGCTAACCGCAACATAACCAAGCCATAACGATAGTTAGAGATCTGACGAAGCCCTAACGAATCCCAACCGTTACCGAACCGACGGCAAATCCACCCTTGACGGCATCCAGACCTGACACTTATGGGTTTTAATGCGCGTGTGTGAGTGCTCTGGCATGCACAGCCTCTCTGCAGCTAAGAGCACCTGGTCGCACAACTTCAGCGATGCTGTTGGGCTAGACTTGGGTTGGATTGGCAATTGAGGAGTTGTTTTGGTGCGTTGGACGCTTGCATGTTGGCGGATGTTTGGGGTGGGGTCAGGCAGTGGATGTGCTGTGGTGCTTCGTACAACTGGTTCGTAATGACCCGCATAAAATGCTAAGTGCATTTCTTCGCTGTTGTCGCCATATGCGTAGGAAAGGGCCCGACACCCGGTGCCGTCGGCATGCCAAACGGTCAGGTTGCATTGAAAGGCAACCGCTACCCAGTGTACGATGTTTTCATCTGCCCAAGCCGCTCTGAGAACAGGTCCTTCCCCCTGTGACAGCACGTCTGTGCAGTAAGCAGCCACAGCGGCGCCTTCTGAAGATGCGGTGCGTGCATATCTTTCCTCGTTAGCAATGGCCGTGGCTGTATTTGCAGCCAGCGAGACGTGTGGATTGTCGATTTGGAACTGCGCGCGAACACCATGCCTAAGCTCTTCATGCGGCGTGCCTGGGTCCAACATGCGCGCTCGTTCGCAGGCTTCCCAAATACGCCATAACACCGGCGGAATTCACCAATTCCCGCTTGACGCACTGCTGATACACCCACATTGACGCCGCGTTGCTGAAACAATAGCCAACGAAAGGCATCAAAAAAGCAATCGCCAGAGCGATAGCCAACAGGATTGCGACGAAGGCCATGTCGGGCGAGGGACGCCTCGAAAACGTGAAACAAGCACGTATTTCGATCCACTTTTCAGCGGTGCGCGTTGAACGAACGAAATGAACGAACGAATGTAACGTAGAGGGACGATGCCCACTTTGTGTCTCTGCGGCCGTCGCGGCAGCGGCAGTCTTTGCTAAGCTGCTTGTATTGAACTACAACTAACCTTTCTATATATTCTAACCAACATATTCGCTTTAACAGTTTTGTTTTTTGCAAGAGGCAAGTCAGCCTTGAGGGAGGCACATCAAGAGGCAACTTAACCTTGGCTTATGGGCTACACGTTGGTTGCAGCTTTACAACGCTACAATGACATTGCTATGGAGATTACGAATCACCTGGACAAACCTGCCAACAGCACTTTGTCTACGCCCTTATGTACAACAATTGGGTTGTCTTCTGAACTCTAAGCCTCTCACTTTTTCAACATACCGTTATACTCAAAACACAGCAACGAATACAACGCCACCTTGTCCGACCGAATCTGCGACCTCGGTGCAGGTACATACAAACTGTACAGGGATACAACATAGGACATGTTCACGGTACAAGAAGGACATAACGCCTCGGTCCGGAATATTTTGAGTGAACGCTAAGACTACGCCCCTAATCGGGGCGAGCCAACAATGTCATCTTAGCATGCACTATTCTGCACAATATGTGTATTGATGACCAAGTGGCGGAGCCTGATCATGATGAGATGTATTGCGAAATCCTTCGGTCTTATGAGCGGTGGAATACGGGAAGGCGCAATGCCACGAGGCAGGCTGTGAGGTCGAACCAAAATCAAGTAGACCACGGAGCTAATGATGACGTGTGGGATGCGGAACATATCCGGGATGCCATTGTTTTGCACGTAAACCGTCGGTTGGCTCGCCCCGATTAGGGGCGTAGTCTTAGCGTTCACTCAAAATATTCCGGACCGAGGCGTTATGTCCTTCTTGTACCGTGAACATGTCCTATGTTGTATCCCTGTACAGTTTGTATGTACCTGCACCGAGGTCGCAGATTCGGTCGGACAAGGTGGCGTTGTATTCGTTGCTGTGTTTTGAGTATAACGGTATGTTGAAAAAGTGAGAGGCTTAGAGTTCAGAAGACAACCCAATTGTTGTACATAAGGGCGTAGACAAAGTGCTGTTGGCAGGTTTGTCCAGGTGATTCGTAATCTCCATAGCAATGTCATTGTAGCGTTGTAAAGCTGCAACCAACGTGTAGCCCATAAGCCAAGGTTAAGTTGCCTCTTGATGTGCCTCCCTCAAGGCTGACTTGCCTCTTGCAAAAAACAAAACTGTTAAAGCGAATATGTTGGTTAGAATATAGAAAGGTTAGTTGTAGTTCAATACAAGCAGCTTAGCAAAGACTGCCGCTGCCGCGACGGCCGCAGAGACACAAAGTGGGCATCGTCCCTCTACGTTACATTCGTTCGTTCATTTCGTTCGTTCAACGCGCACCGCTGAAAAGTGGATCGAAATACGTGCTTGTTTCACGTTTTCGAGGCGTCCCTCGCCCGACATGGCCTTCGTCGCAATCCTGTTGGCTATCGCTCTGGCGATTG